CCCATCCCGACTTGGCACCGCAGGGGTGTTTCTATTGGAGACGGTTACTCGGTGGGGCCAAGAAGAACCGGGTGAACCTGACCATATGTTTCCCGGTGGCCGGAGAGCCGGAGAGCCGCGTTCCCGGGACCGGGGGACGCAAACGTCATGAAAAGTACCGATGGGGGTTAGCGAGCTCCACGGAGCAACACCCGGGGCGTGGCCTCTGCCGATCGGACTGCTTTTTGCGTGTGCTTTTCGCGTACGGTCGCATATGCCGGCGCGGTGGTTTCATTCCGGTAGTAATCATGTGCTTTTTTATTCAGTTGGCTCGAGATTTACTACACCCGTCCTTGGAAGAGGAAAAGAAAAAACATAAAAAGAAACGGCTAGTTCAAAGTCCAAATTCTTATTTTATGGATGTAAAATGCCCAGGTAAAGTTTCAGACTTAATTCTTTCCTAATGAAAATTCCTATGGGGATTGCTAGTGTGGCGTGCGTATTTGGTACCTTAGGACCCTCTGGTGAGAAGAGGGGTTGCAGAACTGGGTGTTTTCATCATAAACATATTCAGAACACGATGGAAACATTTCGGGGTGGGGGTCGGTCAGGGGTGAGGGGTGAAGATGGGACTCCCCAGGGAATATGGCATTTGATGTACTAAGTCTTCAAGCTGATGAGATGATGAGCTGCTTTTTCATGATGCAATGAAAAGTATGTTGATTCTTGAGGGTAAAGCTGTGCTGCCCAGTATGGCGGTGCGGTCATTAGCTGCATGTGTGGTTACTGAACACTTAAACTGTGGCTAGTGAAAATGAAAATATTCTGTAAGTGCAAATCACACACCAGATTCTGAAGGTGTAGCTTCCCTCCCCCCACGTATTGGTTACATGTTGAGATGATAATATTTAACAAGTTTGTGGCTACTAGACAAATTTGCTGCATCTGTGGCTTGCTATTGCACAGCACTAGAGTACTTCATCTTTCACAAGGTCTTTGCTAGGGTTACGTTGAACAAGTGCTGTGTATTCAGCTTTTCACTTTTAACTGCCCTTTTTCTAGGTTGCTACAAGATCACCACGGTTTTCAGCCACGCTCAGACGGTGGTTCTTTGCGTAGGTTGTTCAACAGTGTTGTGCCAGCCGACAGGAGGAAAGGCGCGACTCACAGAAGGTATAGCACTTGGCATTTTCTAACCCGTGATGAGATTTCATGATTGTAAATGTCTATCTTTACGGAAAGCCAATTTAAAAGAAACCTTAAATTCGTGATTACCAAAATAATTTTGTCTTTTGATTGTGTACTCTTTTAGTAAAGAGTGTCCTGTTCAATTTGACCTTGCAAAGAACTCCTTTGACTATATATATATATATATATTTTTAGGATGGAACACTTTACTTTGCTGTATTTAATCACTTAGTTTGCCTAACTTGGGTATTAAACATAAATCAGAATGGAGCAAAAGAAGAGTATACAGTGGGACATGGTTTTTTTATAAAACAGGATTTAAAAACTTCTCTTGTAACCCTAGCCTGTTTGGCTCAGTGGATAGAGTGTGGGCCCATGGACTGATTTCTCTTGTAAATATTTTGTTTCATATGTATATGGTACATAAGACAAGACAGTTTTTATCATTGCTAGTTAAGTAACAGATAGTATATAAATTTAAATGCTATCTCTGAGTAACTACTTAATGGTTAATATAAAAAATTGAATTTTAATCCTTTTTCATTTTTGTGCAGTAAGAAAATAATTCCGTATATAGTTTTCTATGGTGCAACTTGTAGATTTAGAATTCTATATGATACTTGAAATTTGCTTGTGATATTTTGGGGAACTGTGAATTCTATGTTCTCACTGGGAGAGTTATAAGTGGATTGGCAACAAATTCAAGATCTATTTGATATCTGGTAAGATATAAGTATGAAGTCAACATACTTGCAACATCAAGTTTTAACTAACAAATTCAGGCTCCTGATCTTAAATAGACTCCATTATAGCATTTGAGAAACAGGAGTGACAGAGTCACATTAGAGTAAATCCAAATATAAACGATTTATTATAGCAAATTTCTGGTACGAAAGAATAAATAACCTAAATATGAGTATTACTGTAATATCCCTAAAATATAAGTTTTTACTTGTGTTTTTGCCATTAAAACTATACCAAAGGAAAACAAACCAAAAAACTATACCAAGGACAGAATTAGACTTGTGTTTAATATGCTTTTGTAATTCTATTGCAGGATGTTCATTTAGAAGAAAGCAACACTAATGATCCACACAGCTTCCTGAATTTGGGTTATATCACAAAAAGCCTTATCAGTTTAGTAATTCTACTTAATCTACCAGGATAATGTAATTACATTTAATTTTGTAAGTATACAACAGTGATCTCCTATTTTGGTGTCAATTTTTCAATAAAGTTTTGATTATGGGAAAATTCCCATTTGCCTCTTTTTTTCGAAGTATGTGTGCGTGCTACACATTAATATATACTTTGTTAATTTGGTTTAACATTTTTTTGGTTTATTTTTCTTTGTTAAATGGCATTTAAATATATAAAATAAATATCAAAAATATGTCTTTGTTTTACTATGGTTGCAAATATCAAAAAATTTCTATATGTGACACGGCACCAGAGTTAAGTTAGAGTTTTTCAAAATGCTGACACGCTGAGCTCAAAAGGTTCACCATCACTGCCGTAGGATGTGTGACGGGGGATGGTGGGAGGTATTGAATTCTCTGGTCTAGACAGATAAGCACTCCCGACTACACATGTGTTGAGTGGCTCTCATTGTCATTTTTATAGTTTATGAAATGGTCTGTGGAGCTAGGAATTGGAGTGTATCTTTCCTTCTCTAGCCACAGTACGACTCCTCATTGGACTGGGAAGATAACTGCTTCTATTTTGTTACCTTTAAGGCAGGCACTTAGGTATTTCCTATCAAAACCTTGAAAATATCTGTAATTCAAAAATTACTTCTGCAGTAATATGCTTACATACATCAAATGCAGATGAAGGAAGAAATTTTTAAAAATTAAAAATTTCTTTAATCCCCTCTCAATAAGAGGCATATATATATATATGTGTGTGTATATATATCTATATATACACACACATATATATATATATATACACACACATATATATATATATACACCCCCAGTTGGAGTGATGGATCCTTTAACATACAGATTCATATACCATACTGAAAAACTATGGAAAGTTTGGGGTGCATTTAAAAAATGGAAAAGTAGATAACCCAGAGGTTCCCATACTTTCTTGGTTTGTGTGTGTGTGTGTTTGTATTCTTAAGTCCATGAATGTCTTTTTAATTTTCTTATTTCACATTTTAATCCTCAGCAATTTATTGAAATATCAACCTGTTGCCTCATATGTGCCCTGACTGGAATTGAACCCATGACTTTTTGGTATCTGGGACGACGCTCCAACCAGTTGAGCCACCTGGCCAGGGCACTTATTTCCCACTTTATATATCATGCTATGTATTTAACAGAGGAGATGCATAAAAGCATGACTCTACTATGTCATCCTTCATATTTGTTTATTAATGTAAAAGGTGTCATTTTTTTATTTGCAGCCAGATTTACTAATTAAAATCCCAATATATATTTATTTTTGTGCTTTTTATTGGATCTGTAAATTATTTGAGACTTCTTCTTTCTTATGGGAAGGCAAGATAATGGTTAAACAATTTTTAGAGTTGGGTATACCTGGGTTTGAAACAAGTTCAAATGGTCAGTGGTTGTGTGATCTTGAGCAAAAGGAGTTATTAATTTCTACTTAATAGTGTTGTTTTGAACATAAAAAATGAGATGACATAGATAGAATGCTTAGCACAATGCCTGACAGAGTGCTGTTAATAGAATTTAGACTGGTCAGAGTGGCCCAGTTGGCTGAGTGTTGTCCCATGCACCCAAAGGTTGCAGTTTCGATTCCTGCTCAGGGCACATACCTAGGTTGCTGGTTCAATCCCTGGAGGCAGCTGATTGGTGTTTCTCATGTGGATGCTTCTCTCTCCTCTCTAAGCATGTCCTTGGGTGAGGATTACTTTTTTTTTTTAAGTGTTTATTTAAATAAAAGGATCTTATCTATTCAAGTATTCTCAAGTTCTACTTTTTCGCCCAAATTATTTACACACCTGTTATCACACCAGAGTATAGTTGTGTTAACTATTGCTGCAAAGCAAGCCACCCCAAATTGTAGTGGCTTAAAATGATGATCTATTATTTCTCATGGTTCTGTGGGTTGGACTCACTCATGCGGCTGCAGTCAGCTGGAGGCTCAACTGGTTTGGAAGGTCCAAAATGGCTTCAGTCACATGGCTGGCAGCTGGTGCTGGCTGGCAGCTGGTGCTGGCTGGCAGCTGGGGCATCTCAGTTCTCCAGGTGGCCTCCCATTAGAGCTTCTGTATTCCATGGCAGCCCTGGGGCAGTGTTCTTAGAAGGTGAAAACAAGCTTGAAGGCCTCCTAAAGCCTACGCCCTGGAACTTGTACATCATTTCCACCACATTCTGGGGGTCAGAGAAGCCACAAAGTCGGCCCAGATTCAAGGGCGTGGACAAACAGGTTCCACCGCTGGCCGGGAAGAGCAGCAAAACCACGTTGCAAAGGAGAAAAGGGGGATGGGGAGAATAAAGGATAAAGGGGGCCTAATATATGGTGGAGAATGATTTGACTTGGGTGGTGGACACACAATGCCATATATAGATTATGTATCATAGAAATGTACACTTGAAACCTGTATGACCCTACTGACCAGTGTTACCCCAATTTAAAAAATTACCATATTTGATTTGCTTTTAGTCACATATCTAATGTTTAAAATTTAAAATAACATTAAAGGAAGGTATGACATTTTTATATTTGTCGAAGAGCATGGATTGAAAAAGTTTACATACATGAATACAAGGTCTACAGATCAGGAGAAGCAAGAAAAAAAAGGTGGAATGGATCCGTTTTAGAAAGCAGCTTTTTTCATATTTCAACCAACTTAGAGATGTTCATCTATTTACCTTTATATACTGAATGGAGAAACAGGCTTAGGGCTCAGAATGATAGGAAACCCTTTTATTAGAGTGTATAAAAAACGATTTCCTTTTGAAATTTTCTGAATTCAGTTTAGTCTCCAATATACACTCCTATGGCTGTTACAACAAAATTTCCCATATGTCCACACTACAATAAGCTATTTGTGGAGCCAGTCTCCAAGATAGCTCTCAATGATCCCTACCTCTGGTATTTAGCCTTTGTGTAGTCATCTCCAAAACTGAATCAGGGTTGGTCTGTGTGACCGACAGAATTTGGCATAAATGATGGTATATGATTTCCAATTCTGGATTATAAAATACATTGTGGCTTTTGCCTTTTCACTCTTCACACAATCTGAAGGAAGCCATGGAATAGCCAAGCATACCTTGGAGAGACTCATGTGATGAAAAACAGACCTCCTGCCAAAATCCAGTAAGTAAGCCCTCGTGCCTATAGCCACTTGGGTGAGCCATCTTGGAATCAGATCCTCTAGCCCCAGTCAAGCCTGATTTTAAACTATATTACAAAGCTACAATAATCAAAGCAGTATGGTACTGGCATAAAAATAGATCAGTGGACTAGAATAGGGAGTCCAGATATAAATCCTCACTGATATGGTCAACTAATCTACAACAAAGGAGAAAAGACTATACAATGAGGGTAAAGATAGTTGCTTCAATAAGTGGCAGTGGGAAAGCTGGACAAATAGTACAAAAATAAATTGGACCAACTTTCTTACACCATGTACAAAAATAAACTCAAAATGGATGAAAGACTTAAATGTAAGACCCGAAACCATAAAAATGCTAGAAGAAAACATAGGCAGTAAATTCTTTGATAGTCTTAGCAATATCTTTTTGGATATGTCTCCTTGGGCAAGGTAAACAAACACACAAAAAGTAAACAAAAGGGACTATATTAAACTGAAAAGTTTTTACATAGTGAAGAAAAACACCAACAAAAAGATAACCTACTGAATGGGAGAAGATACTCATAAGTGACACATCTGATAAGGAGTTAAACTCCAAAATGTATAAGGAATTCATACAACTTAATGCCAAACCCCTCTCCCCAAACAATCCAATTATAAGCTGGCAGCGGAACAAGTAGCCATTTCTCCAAAGAGGGCATACGCATGGCCCACAGACATATGTAAAATGCTCAGCATCACTAACTTTCAAGGAAATGCACATCAAAAACACAGTGAGATACCATCTCGAAACAGAATAGCTATCACCAAAATATAAAAAAATGAGGATGTGGAGAAAAAGGAGCCCTTGTGCACTATTGGTGGGATTGTAAATTGGTGCACCCACTCTGGAAAACTGTATGGCGATTCTTCAAAAACTTAAAAATACAGCTGCCGTATGACCCAACACTTTCATTTCTGGGTATTTATTCAAATAAAATAAAAACGCTAATTCAAAAAGATCTATACACCCCTATGCTCATTTCAGCATTAATTACAATAGCCAAGATATAGAAGCAACCTAGGTATCCATTGATAGATGAGTGGATAAAGAAGTGGCATATATGTACAACAGAACATTATGCAGCAATAAAAAAGAACAAAATCTTGCCATTTGCAACAACGTGGATGGACCTAGATGGCATTATGCTAAGGGAAATAAATCACACAGATCTATAAGCACTATTTGATTCCACTTATATGTGAAATCTAAAAAAAAACCAAAACAAATCTAAATAAACAAAACAAAGCAGGCTCATAGATATAGAGAACAAGCTGGTGGTTATCAAAGGGTAGGTGGTGAGGGGATGGATTTTTTAAAAAGAAAAAAAGAACAATATTTGAAGGTTCCTACTGAATGAGATTTTCTCTATTTTACACATTCAAAAAGTATATTTATCAGAATATTTTATTTCAAGAATTAACTTTTTTCAAAAAGTAAATACAATATTGTTACTTCCCTGAGTATAAAGAACTGACCCTACAATAAAAGTCAATTACAAAATTAAAACAATTAGAGGTACATATTTTCTGCATTCAATTATACTATATTACAAATTTATTCTTAAAAACCTCATGTTTTTTGGAACTTTAGTTAATGTTTAAAAAAACAAAACAGTTCATTTTGCACCTGTGATGTTAAGGTATGTCTGATCTGTCTTTATCAAATTCCAGGGCAATCTTTAAAGCAGTGCTATTGAGTCCTACAGACTGCATGTTACATATGATGGAAACAACTATTCCCCTTGGAGGAACCTTGTTACATACAGATTCTGCATCCAGTTCTTCAGGAAGGATCAGCAGGACACTACTGGCACCCACGGCACCGCCAGTATGAGAGGCATAATGCCGTTGCTTCCTACAAGAGCCGTATGTTTGCTTCTTTTCCACGACACCCCATGCCATTGCATATTTACCCTCT